CGATGATCTAATGGCCCCTTTTGACTTTTGTGAGCACTTATACTCACTTGGGCATACAGACACAGACGCACACATGTAAATAAAATGAGATCTATATTTTAAAAGTGAGGGTTCAATAGTGAACTAAGATGTAGCTCAGTTGGTAGACAGCTTGCCTAGACTGCAGGCAGCCCTGGTTCTATTCTCAGTAACATATAATCTGGCTTTTGTGGTACACACTTAGAATTCTAACACTTTGGTGGTGAAGACGTATCATCCCTGACTAATGATTGAGCTTGGGAAGATTCCTGTTACTCTTTACTGGTGCCATATGAGGACTGTACTACTATGCTTTCTCTCCTAGCATGTGATGGGGATGAGAAAATAGTCCTCTCAGATTTTGATAAACCTTCTTTCAGTTGAAGGTCACAAATGATTGGGACTGAAAGAGTCAATCTGAAGAGGAAAAGGAGCAAAAGGCATGGGAGTCCTTCCTCATCTATGTTACAGTCAGTTTTGATGTCTGATCATTGGAAATTATACACCAGAAGATTCCTTCCCATCTCCTTTGTGTGTGCATGTAGGAATGGCATGTGAATGCATGAGCAAGTGTGTGCATTTGAGTTTGGAAACATGAGTTTACTCTGAGTATCTACATTGACTGTGCTCTATCATATATTTGGAGGCAGCATCTTTTCCTAAACTGAAAGCTCACTGATGAGATAATGAAGCTAGTCAGCTTGTTCTAGGATCCCCTATCTCCCGCCACTCTATGTCCCACCTCCAGAAAGCTGGGATTTCAAGCAGGCTGCCACACATACCCTGTATTTGTTTTTGTGGATGCTGGGGATCTAACCTCAAGTACTCACATTTGTGCTCTAAGAGTTTTCTGCACTAAGCTATCCCCCTAACCTATCGCTACTAACTTCCTGTAAATGAGCACTCACATAGGTGATGGTGACCCCATCAGCAGACCTTACAGTATTGGTGACGGCTGACTTGAACCATCTTCACAAGACCCTCTGATAGTTCTTATCTCTTCTCCAGTCAACTGGCTTTGCCATAGATCACAAGACCCCATCATCCTTGCTTGCTTGTAAATGCCAAGCTGTGTGCAGGCTACCATTCACTGCTCATCTGGGAGCTAAACCAAGTAAGACACTGCGAAGAAGGGCTTTGAATCATCAGGAAGACCTTGATATCAAAGACAGATAGGGCTCCATTGGCATTGATTAATGTTTGTGATGACTACAAAGCTACCCCAAGGCACTGTGGGAGGCTGCCACACACAATACTTTGCTACATTCCAAACAGAAACAGAAGCAAGCCTTTTTGTGTGTCAGCTGCTATAAATTGCCATGCCACCTAAAACAATTCTATTGTGTTCAGCCCGATTATAAATTAAAAACAAGATGAAGCTTGCCTGGACAACCTTTACCCCATTGTCACCTTAACTAACATTAGAGATAGATACCAATTAGCGAGAGTTACAGTGTCAGAGAAAGACAAGAAGGGGACATATCAGTTATTTAGTCCACAAATTCAAATAAGCCCTCTCCAGGAAACCAAAAATGAAGGATGGATTTTTATTAGGGTAGACTAGGAAAGAAGGAAACAGGAGATTTTTATCAGGGTTGAGCTTAACAGCATGTCATTGTATCAGAATGGCACTGCACATATTACATAGGGAAAGATACATGTTTCGCTAATATATTCTGCTAATACCCACTAATCTCTAAATCTGTCATCTTTACACTGTACAGATGGTGATTTTTTTCCTTCTTTGGGGATTTTATAATAAAGTGGTTGCAAACATCTTATAAAATGAAGAAAAAAACTAAGAACTCATTTAAAAATATTTACTGTTATTATTTTCAATTGTGTATATCTGTGTGGTGATATGTATACATGAATGCAGTCCAGAAGATAGTTTTCAATCCCATGTAGCTGGATTTACAGCTGGCTGTGAACCATGTAAGAGCAGTGGATGCTTATAACCACTGAAGCTCTACCCCAGCCCTAAAACTCTTGGCTCTACTTCCATGTGAAGCAAAACTGGGATGGGGGGGTGTAGAAACCTTGAAAGACACCCAGGTGGTAGAACCTGCAATGCTAGATCATAATGATCTTATTTCCTCGTCCCAAGGAGAAGAGTAACTAGAACAGGTACCCACATGACTCAGAGCCAGTGCCAGGGTCATAAGGTGCACACTGCAGGAGGGGTTATGGTTTAAGAGTTTCTAGACCTTCAGGAATTGCTAATGAATCGCCTGCACACCATAATCCAATCTTCAGAAATATGTGAGCTAAGTTCCAGAGAAATGGAATGAACATGGGGAAGTAGATCTATGTCATTTATAGATTTTACAACTTGGTGAATTAACACTAAATTGTTTAACACCAGCTCAAGAATCCTTCCTAGGACTCTTAACCTGTTGAAGGAGAGCTGGCCCGACATTTCTCTCATAGAACCTAGATTTCCAGGGCTTTATAGCCTACCGATGGTGGCAGGGGAAAGTGCCTGCCTGGACAGCCCCTTTGTCTAGAAATGACTGTCTTCTACTATACATCGTGCCTATATCTGCAACCTGCTTCACACTGTGATTCAGCACAAGTCAGCTGGTTGCTTGTTGGAGCAGGGATGATGAAAAGCACTTCCTGCTGGTGATGTCACTATGATTGCTGTTGCAGCAGAGCACTGAATTCCCCTCTTCATATCGCATACGCTGCACATCAGAAATATATTAAGACATTAATTCTTTCTTGAGATTATACCTTGAACATGAACTTAAAGCTGTGCTCTCACCTCTGTTCTAATCATTTAACTTTTTCTTAGATGCTCGCAATGGCCACCTAGCCACTTACCACAATTCCCTCCATGTATTTGCCATGAACTGACACGACATTTAACCAGTGTCACCAGGTAGCCACATCACTCTCTTCCTCAGGCTTTTCCACAGTTATCATCAAATGTAAAGCCAGGCCCAAAGACTTTCAGTGGCTCATAAGCAATTACCTGGCCTCAGCTATCTATCTGACCTCCATGCTGTCCCATGTGTCCTTTGTGTCTGCCACACTGTGTTGGGGGAAGTCTTATGCCAATAAAGCACTGTCTGGCCAATAGGGAATCTAGATAGGAGGGACTAGGAATCCGGGAGGATTCTGGGAAGGAGAAACACAGGAGAGTCAAAATGTAACGCCATGGGGTAGGAGCCCGGAACTATTCTCCGGTAAGAGACATACTTAGATTAACAATTATGGGGTAATTACTTAAAGCAGAGCTAGCCAGTAAGAGACAAGCAAGGCCAACAGCTTCATAATTAATATAGCCTCCTGTGTGTTTATTTGGGACTGATGCCGATCTAGAACCAGGCAGGCAGGAAGGCTTCTCTCAAAGAAAAAGCTTCTCTTAACAACACTGGCTTTCTGGATGTTTCCTAGCAATGTTTACCTGGGGACTGATGGCTCTGACCCTTTCAGCGGGAATCTGCTTTAACACCACTCCCTAAGAAGCAGCTGACAAGCCACCTTGGGAGCACTGCCCATGCCCACCCTGAAGCCCTGGGTCTCTCCTCCACCCCTGGCACATCTTCCACTGCAAAACATACCAGAGCTCTCTCCAATATGATTGTTTCTGTTCCCTTTCCCTTTATCTGTCTTTACCTCTGAAGCACAAATTCAACAGTGGCATTGTCTTCTGTGAACTGAACCTGTTGAATCCACCATGAGCACCAGGACCTAGAAACAATCACATACTAGGTAACAGGCAGACCCAAGTATCAAAATCTGGAACGTAAGTAAGTAATTACTGGACTTGTCCACTTACTAGAACCAGATTGAAATGAGAATGGGCATTACACTTCTCTTACTGCCTGGATGAATCTAACACATAACCCAATTTAACTGTCTCAATTCTGAGGCAGGTTTTGTTGTCAATATAGTAAAAAGAAAGAAACAAAAGCCTGCTGAGCTTGAGTAACTTACCACATATATGCTCTTTCTACAGTTCATTGCACATTCTGCCTCTAGATAGCACTTAGCAGAAAACAGAGGTTGCACTTTCCAGCAACAAGGTGGGAACATCTCACTACACACAGAAGATCTGAAGGATAGTTTCACTAAGAATCTGCAAAGTGAAGAAATTCCTATAAAATGATGAGAGCTTTTCTTACAGTCCACTGATCTCCACGCAGGTTCAGAAACATCAAGGGAGTGTGACAGAGACAGCCCACTATGCTATGAGATGCCCCAGATGGTGAGTACAGTTGCAGAAGATTGGAAAGGCAAAGGCAAAAGGATTACCAGCCTGACATCCTAACCACGCCAACTAAGGCACCCCGTGAACTTCTAATAGTAAGCTGTGGGAACCTGGGCGATTCTACAGCTGTAAGCAACACTGCTCCTACAAATAGATCTGGATCTCCTGTGCCTCTTGAGCATCTAACCCAGGAGAAGGGTGGGTAGGGGCAGGATACTAAAGAGCTCAGGGAGACTCAGCTGCCAGGTTCAGGTCAGGCAGGAGGAGTGAATGGGTAAAAATCAGAGCCCAGGATTTGCAATCACCAGAGTATTCAGAGGCTGATCTGAGGCATCAGGCTCCAGGGGTACCCACAAATGGTTAACACACAGTCTTCTCTGATGAGTAGTTTCAGCTGCTCATCAATAGAATCTCCAGCTGATAATTATTAAGTAAAACTTGAGGCTTACATTTGCATATGTAAAGCACACTTCCCTCAGAAGCCACAATGGGAGGGAGAATGTGCTTCCTGATTGTACAGCATGAGGATAAAGATGGGTGGGGATCCAGCCTGTGCTGCATGTGTTGCTCCATGCTAATCAAGCCAGATATTCAGCAGAAATGTATCCCACATCCCAAAATATGCCATTTGTCAAAATCCAGAGCTCACAGAAGAGATTGCTCTCTAGAGATTTGAAGGAGGGTGCATTTCACAATGAGAAGCTCTGAGGGTGGTGATTACCAGGATGGGTGCATGCTAGCGCATACCCTGCCCACTCACACACCTGGGCTCACTCACTGAATTATGAAGCAGGGCCAACTTCCTCTAGAAAACTTGCATCCCTGCCACTGACTCCCAACTTTCATCTCTGCTCTGTGCCTGCCCATGGAGTTGCTTCAGCACTGAAGAGCAAGTTAGATGGAGATGCCAGGAACGCTGCCTTCACCTCATTTGATGGGTTACTACTAACCCTGCTACATTTATCATGGCCTATGAGGAGGATATCTTGAAAGAGCATGGCTCTCCTTCTCTAGGGAAGTATACCAGAGGACGCCAACATGTTCACAAGGGTAAATAGAGCACTGTCCTTAACATGCATCAAAAATCAGCAAGAAGCACACAGTGAGGACATAATAATAGTAAAAGAATTAACTATGGTTTTCTTTGTCCTTGATAAGTTTGTGACCTTCCTGGTGCCCTGCCACCCTTCTCTGAAAAAACAAGAAAAGAATGCTTTGTATCATGAATTCAGTTTTAAAAAGGTAAAACTATAAGCATGCATCAATCTGCCAATCTTCTGCTTTGGGACAGAAGCCTTTCCTGTCAGGATATGATAAAGATCTGTCGTTTTTATACAAAACATAAAGAGGTTGACAAACACATCCAGTTTAGGTTTCTTGAATGTACAGTTTAAATGTAAGACATTTTTTTTACAAAGATCTACCATAACAGGCATAATAATGTATTAAAATGACTTTTGCTCATTACACAATTTAGTTGGTAGCATGAGTTATGTCAGATGGTTCAAGAAAGTAGGCTCCTGGCAGGGCTACTCCATTCACAGTGGACACTGAAGGGAATTCTGACAGAAAAAACTGCTATTGCATATGTTCTTACATGAAGATGACTTGAGACTCTCCTGCTGAGAATTTCCCAGAGGTCCTATAGGGAAGAATGAGTAAAAACACACACAGCTTGATGTCTTTTTCTTCCCTGGCTGGGTACTCAGTAAGAGCAAAAGGTCTCACAGTTGTCTGCTGTACTGGTCAAAGAGCTTTTTTCTGTAACCCACAGATGTTGGCTCTGAAACAGCCACCTATGTACTTCTGATAAAATAACTGTCTCCATGTGGTGGCTCATATTGTCAGCCTGACAGAACCTATAATCACATGGAGGACGGGTCTCTGGTCTTGCATGTGAGGAACTGTCTTGATTATGTTAACTGATGAGGAATATTCATTCTCTAGGCAAAGGATCCTGGACTGTAGAAAGCAAAGAAAAGTGGGCTGAGCTCTAGCATGCAGCCATCATTTCTCTCTATTCCTGAGCATGGACACAATGTGACCAAATCCTTCAAGCTCCAGATGTGGAAATTTCCAATTTATGATGTACTGTAGCCTGGATCTATGGACCCAAATAAATTCTTTCTTCCTTATGCTGCTTTTGTTAGGGTATTTTATCACAGCAATAGGAAAAGACATTAAGGAACTCTACATGGTGGAAAACTATGAGACCAAACTCACAGAATCCTATGCTCATATGCCTGTCTCTTACATAAACTAATGCAAACATGGAGGATTACCACTGTGCAATCTTCATGATGTAATAGAGACCCAGAGGACAACAGGCTCCTGCTGAACGTCCCTCGGAATATATGGAAGGGAATCTGAAGCAGTCAAATCCTAGACTGTGATAGTTTCTATTCCGTGCAATTGTTCCTGGGATACAGTATCATACTGAAACCAGACTAGCCCAAGTACTTAATAGCATTGAAGAATCAGAGGCTCAGGTTTCTATGAATGGTTTTAAGCCCTTGTGAAAAACCCTTCAGCAGACCTCTGTCCTTCCTCATGAGATTTTCACCTGACTGAGTACTGGTGAGCCACAGGCTATTCTGAGGGCAACAAGGCTGCATAGGTCTAATGCTGGAGTCTTCAGAAGTCAGCAACCAAAATAGAGGAGGACACAGAAAACATGACCACCTACACTGAAACTGGGCAAGTTATTCAATACTTTTGAGCCTCACTTAACCTGTAACCAAGTGTCTCCCTTAGAAGGATTTTTAGAAGGTGTTTTTTGTTTGTTTGTTTTAGTTTTTGGGTTTTTTTTGTTTTTTTGTTTTTGTTTTGTTTTGTTTTTTGAAATGCTCTTTAGAGTAATGACTCTGGCCAAGGTGAAAAGAACACTTATTGAAATAGTGGCAATAGTCTTAAATTAAGATACAGGATTTCGTTAAGATTCTATTGCTTATCAGTAGTCAAAGTTCATGTATCCAATTATTTAATATGGTAATAAATGCACCTCTTGTTGGTAAAATACGGTATTATCATTTTCAGCTTATAAGGACAAAGCAATGTTCACAGACCTAAGAAAAGTCATTTGAGCTATTGTATCCTGGTGAAGGAAATGGCCTCCCTTGTTATGGTGCTGTACCAGACCTGGGCAGCAAAACCAGAGATACAGAGAACCAATATGGGATCACCTGGATGACCACCACCTGGCCATCAAGATCTAGAGAGAACCTTTCCACTTTTTGTATATAAAATCCAAGCTAAACTCTCTGATAGAAACCATATCACAATCCCCAGGCCTCCATCACATCCAGATTAAATGACTACAGTATAACAGTACTTCCTACAATGCTTCAGTATACCAAAAGTCTGAGGTATCATGAAACTGAATATATTTTCCTCTACAGGGAAGAACAAACTCATTTGAAACAAGTGACACCTATGGTTTCTGACTCAAAAAGTTATGTGCATGGGACAAAGTCTTATAGCATGAATAAATTTAAGGGGCAAAAATGGGCTCACCTGTGTTAATAGTTTTAGAATTTGTGAGGCTGTGTGGATATAACCAGGGAGGTCTGCTGATTGCTACCTGTCTGTCCGGTATTATTATTTTGATTTTGCAAAGTTGAGCTCAACCTAAATGTCCAGGACTAAGTAATATTCATTGACTCTATATATTCCCAAGGCATCTACAATGTGACAGTCAGTATTCTGTGCCTTACCCTCAAAGAACTGAAACCTCAATAGAAGAAAGAGAGTCATAGTTTGCAGTGAGATAAAACAATAGGAAAGAAAACAATGTGCTATCAAAGCATGCCAGAGCACCCAGTCAGCCTGGTCTTACAGGTTAAGGAAGGGCAAACATCAGATCAGGAACTGGGCAGACATATTCCAACAGAAAAAAAAAAAAACAAAACAGTGCATTCAAATGCTGGGGCAGGGCCAAGTTGTCCTAGGACACCAAAGAGAACACACAGAGGTACCACGGAATAGTCTTCAATTTCCAGAGCTACAGAATTTCCAGCAGATTCAGAAATCCTCAGGATCTTTTGAACACTGCCCCCCCAAATAGCTTAAGGATAATAGTGGCTTCAGTATGTTATGCACTGACTGCTTCCAAGGACATGTCATTATGAAGCTGTATTTTCAAGGCTTGCTAGCAAAAAATTCAGTAACTGTATGGAAATCACTGTCTAGTATGACCCAGCTTCAAGAAAAAGTGCAGTTCCCAACAGCCTTATCCATCCATCCCCTCATCAAATATCCATGAACCTGTAAGATAAAGTAAGAGCACCCCCTTCAATTGTCATATTCTTCTTTTCCTGTAGAAGGTGTAATAACATAAACTTTTGATGGGAAGAGAAGTTGGTCATGAAAAACCAAATACTCAGATACCAAACGTGTTCAGAAAACAACAACAAAACACGTGGCTCGATGGCTGGAACACAGAGGAAGTAGAGCTTACAGCGAACACACAGACATGACATAAGTGTGGATTCAGATGTGAGGGACATCACAGACGGTCTGCAAAGGCATGAAAGAGCACGAACTTCATCTTGAAGTCAGAGGGAGCAACAGGAGGGTTTAGATTGCCTTCTTGCAAGAAATATAATATCACCTGAGATCTGCTAGACTTTCCTTTAAGAGTGGCTGCATCTCTTAACTTGTCACAGTGATATGCATTATGCTGTACTTATGGATTTTTTTTGTCAACTTGAAACACGCTAAAGTCACTTGGAAGAGAGACAATCCATAAGAGAGGCCTATAGAAAAGTCAGCTGGGCACTTTAATTGATTAGTGATACATGTGGAAGGGCCAAACCCAATGTGAGCAGTGCCACTTATGAGCAGGGAGGTGTTCTTAAGTTATATAAAAAAGCAGGCTGAGCAATCCATAAGGAGCAAGGCAGTAAGGAGCCTTCCTCTGTGGCCTCTGCTCAGCTCCTGTCCCTAGAGCCCTGCCTTATGTTCCTGTCAGACTTTCCCCAATGATAGTGGGTGACCTGGTAGTTGTAAGATGAAATAAAACCTTTCCACCCCAAATTGCTTTTGGTTATAGTGTCTTATCACAGCAATTGAAACCAGTTAGGTAGTGGATCATTACCAATATCCCAGTCACCTTTGGTCTTACAGAAAAACTAAGAAGAGAAACATTATAAAGGCAGTTCATAATAAATTCACAGGAGACAAACACAAGCATTTAGCTTACAACTTGTGAAAGTAAATGGTAAGGTAGCCAGTCCACAAACAGCACCCATTCCTGCACCCCCTGCAGAACTACAGCATTAAAAGTTGTAGCATGGAAATTTCAACTTTATGCAAACCATCCATCTCATTCCTCATTTCTACCAGGAGAAAGCTCTCCCGGGGCAACATGGCACATAGACTCTCTAGATCCATCTCATTCCTACCTTCATAAAAAGATGACTGACAAATCCAGTTAGCAACCCATTTAAAGAACCTGGGCAGGCGCTGCTTGTTCTAGCTCCCTGATATCTCAAGGAATTGTCTGTCTGGAAACAAGCATCTCACAGCCCTTGTTTAAGCAACCTTAAAGTTGCTTAGTCTAATTTGGGTGAGGAAATGAGTCTTCATCATGGCTTAAGACAGAAAGTATCTTTCTGCATGAGTATCTCTTGGTCTATTCTTGTCCCAGACATGGAACACAAAGATATTCATGACATGTCCTTGAAACCTCATCAAATAAGCTTAGGAAGAGAAATGTTGGTAAAACACAAATCAATATTTTGTGCACTTCTATGAAGAAGCTATCAGATACAGGGTATTATCAATGATGATATGGATGATACTTTATGTTGTATTTTATAGTTCACTATGAGCATCAGTTGTCTGATTCATTATTTGGTGGTAAGTATGAAGTGCCCCCCCAGCTGATAAGTCCAGCTCCCATGCACTGGTAAGACAACAGTAACCTCCCCAGTTTTCCCAATGTGCTACAGCTAATGTTTCCCCAACTCTCAGTTTTCTGTCTGCTCAATCACCTCTCACATCACTTGCAACCTTCACATTCCCAATAGAATAGCCACATTTTACTGCTGCAGCTTGTGTTCTTGCTTCGATTTTCCAAGTGATCTCTTGGCATTCATTTATCATAAATTTTAATTGTTATAAAATACATGTAGTTTACTACCTTAACCATTTAAAATACAGTTTCGGGTCACTAAAAAGGCTATCTTCAGAGCATTTTTTGATTCTACAAAACTGTTCTCTCCTTCTGCTGGCCTTGGGCAATCACCACTCTACTTTCTGTCTCTCTGATATTGATTACTCTAGAAACTCCGTGTAAGTGAAATCTTGCTTTAGTCCTTTTTTGCTAGCTAAACTGATTAAAGTCTCAGGTCATCTCAATTCTTTCTCCACTTAGTACATTCTCTTTAAAATGCCAATTCACCATTGCACCCTGTCCACGGAAAGTCCTTCATTTGCTTGAGCTAATCAAAGACAATTGCATACACATGTCAAGGTTATGTAAAGTGCCAATATCACATGTCCACGTACAGCAAACAGTCCTATCCACACATCTATTACCTGCTCTTTGCATGTATTATCCCCAGGGTAAGGGTCACACTTCCAGAATCTCTGCTTGATCCATTTCTACTCAGCCTTCAGAAGCAGATCCTAACAAGTCCTTATGAGGTCTCAACATATGGCACATGTGGTAACCAATGATGACACGCCAGCTCTTATGGCAGTATGGGCTGCTCTTTTGTGGAATTCAATCAGAGTAAAGTGAAAATCTAATTGCATGTTCACAACGCCTCTCTTTTCCTTTACATATCATAATTTCCAGGAAGAGTCAAGAGTACATATTTTTGAGTTCTCATCTCTCTAAAGCACTAAACAGACTTAGGAGTACAGGAGGACTTCAGGAAGAACTTTCGTTCCTTTGTTTAGAGCTGACCACAAGAGTGGAACAAGACCCAGAGTGGCTCTGGAAAGGCGTGTTGAGTAAGTGAGGTTTGATCTCAGAACAAGAATGAAGGAAGGGGTAAAAATGGAAGGCACAGAATATCCAAGAAGGAAGTCCACAGCAGAAAATTCCTAAGGGCGCACAGATGTTGCAATAGTTGAAAGACTAAAAAACACTGTAAAAAAAAACAACAAAAGGAAGACTTGTGTGTAAGACACTAAGTT